TCAAAAATGAAATGGAATGCATAAAAATCGATATCCTAGGCATTAGTGAGCTGGAATGGACTGGTTTTGGCCATTTTGAATCAAAGAACCATATGATCTACTATGCCGGGAATGACAAATTGCAGAGGAATGGTGTGGCGTTCATCATCACAAAGACTGTTTCAAGATATGTCCTGAAGTGCAGCGCTGTCAGTGATAGGATAATATCCATTTGCCTCCAAGGAAGACCAGTTAATACTACTATTACTCAAATCTATGCACCAACTACCAAAGCCAAAGATGAGGAAATTAAAGATTTCTACCAACTTCTGCAGTCTGAAATTGACTGAATATACAATCAAGATGTGTTGATTATCACTGGTGACTGGAGTGCAAAAGCTGGAAACAAAGAAGAGTTACTGGTAGTTGAAAAATATGGCCTTGGAGATAGAAATAACACTGGAGAATTCATTATAGAATTTTGCAAGACCAATGACTTATTCATTGCAAAATACCTTTTTCAACAACATAAGCAATGGCTATACATGTAGACTTCACCAGATGGAATACATAGGAATCAGATTGACTATATCTGTGGCAATGGAGAAGCTTGATATCTTTAGCCAAAACAAGGCCAGAAGTTGACTGTGGAACAGACCATCAGCTGCTCATATGCACGTTCAAGTTGAAGTTGAAGACAATTAAAACAAGTCCACGAGAGCCAATATATGACCTTGATAATATTCCTCTTGAATTTAGAGACCATCTAAAGAATAGATTTGATTCATTGAACACCAATGACTGAAAACCAGAGGAATTGTGAGATGACATCAAGAACATCATCCATTGAAGAAAGCAAAAGGGCATTAAAAAGACAAGAAAGGAAGAAAAGACCAAAATGGATGTCAGCAGAAACTCTGAAACTTACCCTTGAATGGAGAGTAGCTAAAGCAAGTGGAAGAAATGATGATAAAAGAGCTGAACAGAAGATTTCAAAGAGCAGCTTGAGAAGACAAAGTCGATTATAATGAAATGTGCAAAGACCTGGAGTTAGAAAACCAAAAGGGAAGAACACAGTCAGCATCTCTCAAGCTGAAAGAACTGAGGAAAAAAAAATAAGCTTTGAGTTGTAATGTTGAAAGATTCTATGGGCAAAATATTGAATGATGCAGGAAGCATCAAAAGAAGGTGGAAGGAATACACAGAGTCACTGTACCAAAAAGATTGGTCAATGTTCATCCACTTTAGGAGATGGCATATGATCAAGAACCAATGGTATTGAAGAAGAAGTCAAAGCTGCACTGAAGAACTGGCAAAGAACAAGGCTCCAGGAATTGACGGAATACCCATTGAGATGTTTCAACAAACAGATGTCCCACTGGAGGTATTCACTCAGTTATGCCAAGAGATTTGGAAGATGGGTGCCAGGCCAACTGAATGGAAGAGATCCATATTTGTACCCACTCCAAAGAAAGGTGATCCCACAGAATGTGGAAATTATTGAACAATATCATTAATATCACATGCAAGTAAAATCTTACTAAAGACAATTCAAAAATGGTTGCAACAGATATTGACAGAGAACTTCCAGAAATGCAAGCTGGATTCAGAAGAGGATGTGGAACAAGGGATATCCTTGCTGATGTCAGATGGATCTTAACTGAAAGCAAAGAATACCAGAAAGATGTTTACTTGTGTTTTATTGGCTATGCAAAAGCATTTGATTGTGTGGATCATAACAAATTATGAATAACATTGAGAAGAATGGGAATTCCAGAACACTTAATTGTACTCATGAGGAAGCTGTACATGGATCAGGAGGCTGGTGTTCAAACAGAGCAAAGGGATACTGCATGGTTTAAAATCAAGAAGGGAGTGCATCAAGGCTGTATCCTTTCACCATGCTTATTCAACTTGTATGCTGAGTAAATAATGTGAGAAGCTGGATTATATGAAGAAGAACATGGCATCAGGATTGGATTAAGCCTCATTAACAACCTGCAATACACAGATGACACAACTTTGCTTGCTGAAAGTGAGGATGACTTGAAGTACTTACTGATGAAGATTAAAGACTACAGTCTTCAGTATGGATTACACCTCAACATAAAAAAAATAAAAATCTTCACAACTGGTCCAATAAACAGCTTCACAATGGATGGAGACAAGATTGAAGTTGTCAAGGACTTCATATTACTTGGTTCTACAATCAACACCAATGGAAGCAGCAGTCAGGACATCAGACGATGTATTGCATTGGGCATATCTGCTGCAAAAGACCTCTTTTAAGTGATGAAGAGCAGAGATGACTCCTTGAAGACTAAGCTGTGCCTAACCCAAGCCATGATATTTTTAATTGCTTTTTATGCATGTGAGAACTGGACAATGAATAAGGAGGAGCAAAGAAGGGTTGATGCTTTTGAGTTGTGGTGTTGGAGAAGAATGCTAAGAGTACCACGGACTGCTAAAAGGACTAACAAACCTGTCGTGGAGGAAGTGCAGCCAGAATGCTCCTTGGAAGTGAGAATGGCCAGACTTCGTCCCACCTACTTTGGTCATGTTGTCAGAAGGAACTAATCCCTGGAGAAGGATATCACGCTTGATAGAGTGGAAGGTCAATAAAGAAGGGGAAGGCCCACAATGAGATAGATTGACACAGTAGCTGCAATGATGGGCTCAGGTATAGCAAGGATCATGAGGCTGGCACAGCACTGGGCAGGGTTTTGCTGTGCTGTGCATAGGGTTGCTATAAATCGGAGACTACCCGATGGCACACAACAACAACAGCAACTTTACGTTGACTGATTTTTGTGTTTTGAACCACCCTTGCATTCCTGGGATGAAGCCCACTGAGTCATGGTATATAATCCTTTTAATATGCTACAAGGTTTGATTTCCTATATTGAGGAATTTTGTACCCAAGCTTTCTTAAGGGGCTCACTGTTAGGGTTATCACCTTTCTTTCACTTCTTGACAAATAAATGACAGTCCCCTAAGGAGTATATCTCTCAATATGAGTGTCAGTAACATTTGTAATTACCTTGCAATCATAATCAGACATTGTGAGAGTTTATCTTTTCAGGAACCTAATTTAGAAGAATAAACTTTAGGTATTAATGATGAAGGCAAAGATATTTCCAAAATTATTCTCACTGCAAATTAATTACCAATACAACATTGAAGGCTTCCAACATATAGTTAATGAACAAGAAGGAGGTTCTCCCACTTGGAAGGGGATCTATGTGGGAGATCCTGGATAGAGAGGGAGAACAATGTGGAACAAAACTCAAAATCATTTAGAGAGAAAAAAAAAGGGGGGGCAGGTTTGCTGGCCTGATAAAGCCTGGTGGAACCACTGAGACTATGGCCCCTAGCAGCCCTTCAGGTCTGGAATTGAACCCACACCTGTGGTTTCCAGCCAAACAAAAGCCGGGCACATGAGTTTAACATTTTACTTAAGATAGATACACTCCTTGGAGAGAACAATCATGGGAGAAAGAAGGGCTGCTTATGCACAGGGAGACAGATCAGGGGGCAGGAGTGCATGGAGGGATGGACACAGGAAAGAGGTAACTATCGGGAGGAAGTGAGAGGGGAGCTGTTGCATTGTGGTAAATTGTGGTCAATGTCATGAGATAAAGTGTATGTGAACTGCTGTATGGAAAGTGAATTTGCTCTGTACATTTTCACCCAAATCACAATTTAAAAAAAAAAAAAAAAGGAGGTTCTCATTCTGTCCTCATTTACATAGCATCCCAGGGGAGGGCTGGGTATTGTCTTATTTATTAGACTGTATCTTCATTGTCTAGAATAGTGACTGGTGGATTGGAAAAAAAAAATAATAATAACTGCCATTGAGTTGATTCTGACTCATAGCCACTCCCATTGGGTTTCCAAGGCTGTAAATCTTTACGGAAGCAGACTGCCCCATCTTTCTTCTGCAGAATGGCTAGTGGGTTTAAACTACTGACCTTTTGATTAGCAGCCAAATGCTACACCACCAGAGCGCCCTACTTGCAAGATATTAGGCCATTAATAAATATTTTTCAATGAATAAATGAATCCAGCCTTTGTATTTTGTAAATAAAAATGGTTTAACCCCAAGAGTTATCCTAAGAAGTAAACAGTGTTTTTATTTGTCATTATAGTCAAACCAATGCACACAGAAACTTGTATACCAGTAACCAAAAGGTGCAAACAACCTACATGTCCATCAGCAGATGAAGGGATAAACAAAATGTGGTACATCCAATAGAATGCTACTCAGCCATAAAGAGAAGTAAAGTCCTGATACATGCTACAACATGTGTGACCCTTGAAAACATGTTGTGTATTGACATAAGCAGTCACAAAAGGACAAATATGGTATAATCCCACTTATATGAAATAGGCAAATATATAGCTACCAAAGTTTATTAATGCTTACCAGGGTTGTGGGAGGGGAATAGCGAGAGTCTCTGCTTAGGGGGCACTGAGTTTTCTGATAATGGTGGAAACAGATAGTGGTGATGGCTGCACAACATGAGAAATGAAATCAATGTCTCTGAATTGTACATGTAAAAATACTGAATTGGCAAATCTAATATATATATATAGGCTCTGGTGGCGTAGTGCCTAAGGCGTGTGACTGCTAACCAGAAAGCTGGAGGTTCAAATCTATCAGCCACTCCTCGGAAGGAAGGATGGGCCATCGACTTCCGTAGTGATACTGCCTTTGAAACCCAAGGAGGGGTCGCTACGAGTTGGATCCAGCTCCACGGCAGTGGGTTTGGTTTTGGTTATACATGCACACACACATATAAACCACAATAAAATAATGTTTAAAGTCAAACAAAACATGAAATATTTGTCACAAGAGTCTCAAAAGGAAGCCTGAACAGTGGGATACACAGCAGCTTCAAATCCCTCCCACTGCATAGTTTGTGAACAAGCCTCTGCTTATTAAGAATGCACCCCACAAAGATGTTGCCTTGGGGCTGCAGCCACATGATGAAATCTGAAAACATCTTTTATTAATTCAGCTTCCAGGCAGACCCCAAAAAACCCATTGGGGGGCACATCCTGGCTCATGCTTCAACAACAAGGATAAGTTTGCGAAAGGGAAGAGGAGAACTGAGAATTGCGAAGATTTATGACAGGTAAGTGGTTTCTTATTCCTCATCAATTTTTTTTTTTTTTTTTGCATATGGTCTTATTCAACAGAATTGCCCCTTGAGAAGCTGTAATTATACCACTGGCAGATGCTATGTGTGTGAATTTCCTTCTTAAATGTCATTCAATTCATTGGGAAGTTCCTACTATGAGCTAGGTACTAGGGATTCAGGGATTCTGTTGACAGACTTGGTCGCTGACCTTCCAAGGCTTGCAATGAAGCTGGAAGATGAAATAATCCATTCCAGCTAAGTGTGGTAAGTGCAGGGAGTACAGAGCATAGAAGTATGTTCTTCCTCTTTTTGCCAGGCTGACTCCTGTTTGCTTCCCAGGTTCCAGTTTAAACATCATTTTCTCAGGGAATCTTTCCTTGATCCTTACGGTCAAGGCTATACCCTGTATTTTTCACAGTATTTTACCTCTTAAATTAAGAACTATTCATTAACAAATTTTTATAGAGAATCTATCATGTGTCAGCTTCCAAGGCTCTGAGGATAGAGCCGTGAATGACAACAAACACCAAACCCCTGCCCTCATGGAGCTTACACTCTATTGGTAATTGATTTCTATCACATACCTAGTATGTCACAGACAGTAGATTCCTGAGGTAGGGACATTATCCGCCTGCTCACCACTGTGTCCCAGCCTGGGACATGGTAGATGTCTTGGTTCTCTAGTGCTGCTATAACAGAAATACTGCAAGCAGGTGGCTTTAACAAACAGGAACTTATTTTCTCACAGTTTAGGAGGGTAGAAGTCTGAACTCAGGGCACCGTCTCTAGGGGAAGGCGCTTTCCCTCTCTCTTGCTCTCCCTCCCTCTCTCTCTCAGCCCTGGTGGAAAGACCTTGTCTCTTCAGCTTCTATTCCCTGACTCCTTGGGGATCTGCGTGTGGCATGGCATCTACCTCCCCTCCCCTTCCTTGCTTGTTTAATCTCTTTTATATTTCAAAAGAGATTGATTTAAAACACACCCTACATTAACAATGTCTCATTAACATAACAAAGAAAACCCATTCTTATGTGGGATTATAACCACTAGAGGGACTAGGGTTTACAACACATGTTTTGGGAAGACACAACTCAATCCCAAACAGTGTTGTTGTTGTTGTTGTTGTGTGCCATCAAGTCTTCCCCAACTCATAGAGACCCCTCCTTGGGTTTCTGAGGCAGTATCACTACAGAAGTAGATTGCCCAACCTTCCTTCCGAGGAGTAGCTGGTGGGTTTGAACCACCAGCCTTCTGGTTAGCAGTCAAGTGCCTTAGGCACTATGCTACTAGAGCTCCCAAAACAGTAGCTGTGCAATATTTGTGACTGACTGATAAACCATCCCGAGGGTAATAACTCTACCCCACCAGCCACTCCTCGGAAGGAAGGTTGGGCAATCTACTTCCGTAGTGATACCGCCTTGGAAACCCAAGGAGGGGTCACTATGAGTTGAAATTGACTCGATGGCAGTGAGTTTGGTTTTTGGTTTTCAGGGAGGAAAAAGCAGCCCCAAACAGAACCAACCAAAAATCAGATGAGCTCTTCATCTGGTCTTTGCTTTGAATCACAGTACTTACTACTCATTGTCATTGATAACTAGTAGTTGACCGACTACCCCATCTACCTGGTTTTGATTCATCATCTTACCCTGGAGGAGACTTCTTGTTGGAGACTATAATGTGTAAATACTGTTTTATGGAGTTTTAGCAATTTCTAGAAATTTGCTACAAATGTTCTTTGTTGAATTAAGTAGATTGTTTCATCTGGTTACTAAAATTTCGGACACTTTTCATTCTGAATTGTAATTGACTGTTTACATGCACATCTCCCTCACTGAGGCTGGGTCACTAATTTCTCTAGCACCTAGCACCTAGCATGGTACTTGGCACATAATAGGTACTCAGGCACTATACTTATTTGCATATTTCATCAAGTCCTCCAAACTTACCAGATCAAACAATTCTTATAATCCTAAGAGATTGGCTCTGCTGATTCAATAAAGAATAATTATAGTAAGTTATGATAGATGTCAGTTATGACAAATTAAGTTTGAATAAAAACCACAAAGCTAGATCAGAGCTTAAAATAACAAAACTTAGTTTACGGTGCAGCATGAATTCTTGTCTTTCTGGTCCCTAATGATTTCTCACAGAGAATTCTCCTTAACTTCAGAGAAAACGTTTTAATAGAGAAGATGATGATGTTAATAATGATAGCTAACAACTATTGAATGGCTACTATGTGCTAGGCAATGTTTCAAGTGCTTTATCCATATTACAGCAATCCTAACAGGTAGTGGTTATTATCTTTGTTTTTATGTATGAGGAAACCAGTGCCCCAAGCAGTTAGGAAACATTGTCCCTCTATTTTAAGCGTGGAAGCCAGAGTGATCCTTTGTAAAACATAAAGAGCTATTATCTCTCTTCTGCTTAAAACGCTCCAATGGCTACCCACCTGAACTCGGAGTAAAGGCCCAGGTCTCTATAGTGGCCTCCCCCTGCTCTCTCCTTTGCTCACTGTGCTCCAGCCTCCATGGGCTTCTTGATGCTCTATAAGTGTGCAGGGCACGCTCTGACTGCAGGGCCTTTACACTCACTGTTCCCTCTGCCTGGAACAATCTTCCGCCACATAGCTCTCTGTCTGATTTTCTTCCTCACTGTTTGTGGTAGTTAAGGTTGTGTGTCAACATGCCTGAGCCTGGTTGAGTGGCTGGGCAAATGGATGTAGTATTTCCCATGATGAGACTGGTAATCAACCCACTAGCTGCTCTGCAGGAGAAAGATAAAGCAAACTACTTTGGTAAAGATTTATAGCCTTAGAAATCCTACGGGAGTCACTTTGAGTCAGAATCAACTCAGTGGCAGTCAGTTTTCATTATTTATTGTTTGTCTATCCCTCCCTACATATAAGTCTCACAAG